TCTCTCTCTCGCCCTCTTTCTCCCTCGTCCCTCCTCTCACTCTCCTTCCTTCCCTCTATGTCTCTCCCATTCCTTCCCTCCCCTTCTGTCATCTATCTCTCTCCCTCCCTCCCTCCCTCTCTCTCTTGGCCTGTCTCCCGCCGTGTGAGAGCGAGCCAATCCCTCTGAGACGTTTTTCTCAGCTGCGTCTCCAGACCTCAGCGTGGACGACTAAGAGACGGAGCAGCAGCAAAGCCGCCGCGTTTAGTAACTCGATCAAGGGCCGAGGTACAGTCCTCTGAAGCAAAGAGCATTAGAGGCGTGATGGAAGGAGCCGAGCGGGGCCCAGTTGACAGCTTTGATATGTAAAAACATGCATCTGTTCACTGCTCAGCTCGCACTGGCCGTGCCAGAAGGGGAGGTAGAGAAGGATTGAGAGGCCTCATCTCATCTCACCAAAGTATCCAGGAAATATATATTGGCTCTAATAGAAACGCAAAGCAAGGGCCCAAATCAGCTGTGAAACTCTATGTTCTGCTGTCTCTCGTGTTCCTCTCCTCCACACCACGTTACGCCCGCCTTTTGTGCCTTTTGAGTGAGTCTCGCCCGAGCGTAGCAGCGGCTCTAACTGACATACATCAAACGACACCCGGATGGGGATAAAGAGACTGTTGACGGAATTAGACGATTATTGTTTTTTATTAATTTTCCTTTCTGCAGCCACAAAGGTGAAAACGACAGCCCGCGGGTGCTACAACACAACATTTGAGGCCTGAAATTTGAATAACCTGTTTTTATAGAACAATGTTGAATTGATCAGCTGCGTCGAATGAACTGCGTTGCCGCAGGTGCAAAGGTCAGTGAACGTGTTGGTTGTAAACCGGAAGCTTGGACAGAGTAATTTACGAGCAAGTCGATGGCGGTGGTAAACCTATTAGTGATTTAGTGAAACCCACCACGCATTCCAACGACTACCACATTGAATAGCATTAATTGTCCCTATCTAAAAGTGTATTAACATTATGTTAATGCAGATCCTACTGTTGGAAGTCCATTGTTGTATTTTTCTCTGGCCTTAGTAGAAGCAGTGAAGAGGGGTGTGTTGAAACGAAGCAGCAGTGGATCTCTGCATTATTCAACAACGCAGAGAGACTCATTATCAATAGTTAATTCACACTCATCGTTAAATATTCCATCAGTTTGACTAGTTAATGACTGTTAGGTCCCGTATCAGAACTCAATATCAAAACACATTGGATTTCCAAAGGTTGCACACATAAGAATGGTTCTCTTTAGATAAAAGGCCTATATGTGGGTTGTGTGCATGTATGTTTCCCTGCAGGTTGTGCAAAAGTCAATGCAGCAAGAAACTTGGAACTGTGAGGAATAGACATTATAAATCTGTGTTGTACCAAGGTGGTGGTGTGGGGAAAATGTAGAGAGAAGGACAGAGTGAGAGGGAGAGACGGGGGAGAGCAGAGAGGGAGAGACGGGGGAGAGCAGAGAGGGAGAGACGGGGGAGAGCAGAGAGGGAGATGGAGAGGCAGAGAGAGGAGAGATGGGGGAGAGCAGAGAGGGAGATGGAGAGGCAGAGAGAGGAGAGACGGGGAGAGCAGAGAGGGAGATGGAGAGGCAGAGAGAGGAGAGATGGGGAGAGCAGAAGGGAGAGGGAGAGGCAGAGGAGAAGGAGAATGGGAGAGAGAGAGAGGGAGATGGGAGAGGCAGAGAGAGGAGAGACGGGGGAGAGCAGAGAGGGAGAGGGAGAGGAGAGGCAGAAGAGAAGCGAGAAGAGGGGGAGAGCAGAGAGGGAGATGGAGAGGCAGAGAGAGGAGAGAGGGGGAGAGCAGAGAGGGAGATGGAGAGGCAGAGAGAGGAGAGATGGGGGAGAGCAGAGAGGGAGATGGAGAGGCAGAGAGAGGAGAGACGGGGGAGAGCAGAGAGGGAGATGGAGAGGCAGAGAGAGGAGAGACGGGGGAGAGCAGAGAGGGAGATGGAGAGGCAGAGAGAGGAGAGAACGGGGAGAGCAGAGAGGAGAGAAAGCAGAAGAGGGAGGGAAGGCAGAGATAGGCAGAGAGGAACGGGGGAGGCAGAGAGGGATGGAGAGGCAGAGAGGAGGACGGGAGAGCAGAGAGGGAATGAGAGGCAGAGAGAGAGGAGAGACGGGGGAGAGCAGAGAGGGAGATGGAGAGGCAGAGAGAGGAGAGATGGGGAGGAGAGCGAGAGGGAGATGGAGAGGCAAGAGAGGAGAGACGGGGGAGAGCAGAGAGGGAGATGGAGAGGCAGAGAGGAGAGATGGAGAGAAGCAGAGAGGGAGATGGAGAGGCAGAGAGAGGAGAGACGGGGGAGAGCAGAGAGGGAGATGGAGAGGCAGAGAGAGGAGAGACGGGGGAGAGCAGAGAGGGAGAGACGGGGGAGAGCAGAGAGGGAGATGGAGAGGGCAGAGAGGAGGAGACGGGGGAGAGCAGAGAGGGAGAGACGGGGGAGTGCAGAGAGGGAGAGACGGGGAGAGCAGAGAGGGAGATGGAGAGGCAGAGAGAGGAGAGACGGGGGAGAGCAGAGAGGGAGATGGAGAGGCAGAGAGAGGAGAAACGGGGGAGAGCAGAGAGGGAAATGGAGAGGCAGAGAGAGGAGAGACGGGGGGAGAGCAGAGAGGGAGATGGAGAGGCAGAGAGAGGAGAGATGGGAGAGAGCAGAGAGGGAGATGGAGAGGCAGAGAGAGGAGAGAGGAGAGACGGGGGAGAGCAGAGAGGGAGATGGAGAGGCAGAGAGAGGAGAGGGAGGGAAGGAGAAAGAGCAAGATAGAGTGAGAGACAAGAATAGGCTGTTGGCTGTGCCACATGGGGAGAACTGGTGAACCTTGAACCCTACCACACAAAGGGAATGGAGTCTGCCTAACACCATACAACATGGATAAGCACACACACATACACACACACATACACCAAAATGGACTCCAGCAGCGAGTGTTTGTGTATACTTTATTTATATGGCTCCCTGATGGATGTATCAGAAGTCTGAGTCGAGGGAAATGACATCTGAATGCCAAGCTTTTCCCTGAACCATTCAGTGTCCCTGACAGCATGGATACACACGCACACACACATGCACGCACACACAAACACACAAGCACACACACACACACACACACACACACACACACACACACACACACACACACACACACACACACACACACACACACTCACGCATATGGTTTCAGACAGCATCTATACTGTGTCTATGTCTTAGTGTGTCTGAGCCCAGGGAGAGGCTCTCTGTGTCCCCTTCCTTCCCAGATCTTGGTGTGTCTGAGCCTGGGTAGAGGCCCTCTGTGTCCCCTTCCTTCCCAGATCTTGGTGTGTCTGAGCCTGGGTAGAGGCCCTCTGTGTCCCCTTCCTTCCCAGATCTTGGTGTGTCTGAGCCTGGGTAGAGGCCCTCTGTGTCCCCTTCCTTCTCAGATCTTGGTGTGTCTGAGCCTGGGTAGAGGCCCTCTGTGTCCCCTTCCTTCCCAGATCTTGGTGTGTCTGAGCCTGGGTAGAGGACCTCTGTGTCCCCTTCCTTCCCAGATCTTGGTGTGTCTGAGCCTGGGTAGAGGCCCTCTGTGTCCCCTTCCTTCCCAGATCTTGGTGTGTCTGAGCCTGGGTAGAGGCCCTCTGTGTCCCCTTCCTTCCCAGATCTTGGTGTGTCTGAGCCTGGGTAGAGTCCCTCTGTGTCCCCTTCCTTCCCAGATCTTGGTGTGTCTGAGCCTGGGTAGAGGCCCTCTGTGTCCCCTTCCTTCCCAGATCTTGGTGTGTCTGAGCCTGGGTAGAGGCCCTCTGTGTCCCCTTCCTTCCCAGATCTTGGTGTGTCTGAGCCTGGGTAGAGGCCCTCTGTGCTCCTTACTGTTGTAATCATACACACAGATGACTATCACACACACTATCCACCAGTGACTGATGATGGATTACTCCTGAGCTCCAATGTTCGTCCCCAAACACATACACTCTCCCCAAACCACACACCAAATAAACACACACACACTCTCCCCAAACCTTCGACACACACACACACACACACACACACACACATACACACACACACCAAACACACGCACTCTCCCCAAACCTGCGACATTACAGCAAACCAGCGCCCTCACGACCCCACCACCTGCCCTTACTGCTAAGCAGCAGCAGTAGTAGTAGCATGCTCCCACTCAGGGAATATCAGAGATCCTGTATACCGCTTCAACCTCGTCACGCAGCTGTTCCACTGGATAACTACTGTAGGGATGAGGGCGTAGAGCCCATGTTTAAAAGATGTTCCCTTACGTAAGGCAAAAACCCTTATTCTTTTCATTCTATTCGCCATGGCTTCCGTAGTCATTTGTCTTCCTGTGCGAAATAGAACTGCACTTACCGCAATTTGGTGTAGTGCTAGTCAGGGAGGCTGCGGAGCATAGGGCCTGATTTGCAGCCATTGTACACAAGCCTACAATTTGAATGTAATAAGTGTAGATTCGGTTCAGACGCAATCCTTTAAGACTGTGTTAGTTGTTCCGCTCTGTAAAAGCACAGGAGGAAGGAGCGGTTTTCTGTTTTCATTGAGCTGAGAATAAAAGGAGCTGTCTGTCGGAGAGAACACATAACACACACACACTCACTCACTCACACACACATACACTCACACACACACTCAAACACACACACACAAACACACACACACGAACACACTCACTCACTCACACACACACACACTCACACACACACACACACTCACTCACTCACTCACTCACTCACTCACTCACACACACACACCCACACTCAAACACACTCACACTCACACTCAAACACACACACACACGTGTAACACGAGACTACAGATTCTGCTCTTCTCTTTTACGTTACACAACCACAACAAAATATTCTCTCATATTTTTCCCTCAAACATTATGTTTTATTTATGTTACGTTCATATAATCCTCTGTGTGGTTATTCACATTCATACTTAGCAGGCAGCGAGTCTAACTCATCCTGGTGATTTGTTTAATTGATCATATGCAGTAAGTCATTCATTAAAACCTTGGTGTTGAGAGGCTGAGGACGAGGGTTTGTGGGCACACAAATAAAAACCTTGGTGTTGAGAGGCTGAGGACGAGGGTTTGTGGGCACACAAATAAAAACCTTGGTGTTGAGAGGCTGAGGACGAGGGTTTGTGGGCACACAAATAAAAACCTTGGTGTTGAGAGGCTGATGACGAGGGTTTGTGGGCACACAAATAAAAACCTTGGTGTTGAGAGGCTGAGGACGAGGGTTTGTGGGCACACAAATAAAAACCTTGGTGTTGAGAGGCTGAGGACGAGGGTTTGTGGGCACACAAATAAAAACCTTGGTGTTGAGAGGCTGAGGACGAGGGTTTGTGGGCACACAAATAAAAACCTTGGTGTTGAGAGGCTGAGGACGAGGGTTTGTGGGCACACAAATAAAAACCTTGGTGTTGAGAGGCTGAGGACGAGGGTTTGTGGGCACACAAATAAAAACCTTGGTGTTGAGAGGCTGAGGACGAGGGTTTGTTGGCACACAAATAAAAACCTTGGTGTTGAGAGGCTGATGACGAGGGTTTGTGGGCACACAAATAAAAACCTTGGTGTTGAGAGGCTGAGGACGAGGGTTTGTGGGCACACAAATAAAAACCTTGGTGTTGAGAGGCTTGAGGACGAGGGTTTGTGGGCACACAAATAAAAACCTTGGTGTTGAGAGGCTGAGGACGAGGGTTTGTGGGCACACAAATAAAAACCTTGGTGTTGAGAGGCTGAGGGCGAGGGTTTGTGGGCACACAAATAAAAACCTTGGTGTTGAGAGGCTGAGGACGAGGGTTTGTGGGCACACAAATAAAAACCTTGGTGTTGAGAGGCTGAGGACGAGGGTTTGTGGGCACACAAATAAAAACCTTGGTGTTGAGAGGCTGAGGACGAGGGTTTGTGGGCACACAAATAAAAACCTTGGTGTTGAGAGGCTGAGGACGAGGGTTTGTTGGCACACAAATAAAAAACCTTGGTGTTGAGAGGCTGAGGACGAGGGTTTGTGGCACACAAATAAAAAACCTTGGTGTTGAGAGGCTGAGGACGAGGGTTTGTGGGCACACAAATAAAAACCTTGGTGTTGAGAGGCTGAGGACGAGGGTTTGTGGGCACACAAATAAAAACCTTGGTGTTGAGAGGCTGAGGACGAGGGTTTGTGGGCACACAAATAAAAACCTTGGTGTTGAGAGGCTGAGGACGAGGGTTTGTGGGCACACAAATAAAAACCTTGGTGTTGAGAGGCTGAGGACGAGGGTTTGTGGGCACACAAATAAAATGCCCTTTTGGATTACCATCTTCATCCCACTGTTTCTTGTATATTTATTTTTTGGGTACTTTTTACCCCTTTTTCTCCCCAATTGGTAGTTACAGTCTTGTCCCATCGCTGGAACTCCTGTACGGACTCGGGAGAGGCGATGGTCGAGAGACAAGCGTCCTCCGAAACACGACCACGCCAAGCCACACTGCTTCTTGACACACTCCCCGCTTAACCCGGAAGCCAGCCGGTCGGAAGGCCCTGTTACGTTGTTGTTTCAGCTCTCCCTTCTTCTTTCCTCTGGCCCAGTGCACATGCTACACACACGCACTGAGGCATATGCTAATTCTGGCCAATTAAGCATCTTGTATGTAATTATCTTCTTCTCTCTCCTCTCTCTCGCTCTGTGTTGCTGTAGTTTTAAACCCCCACTGTGACTTCTGTCAAACATCTGTATAGAGATCGTGAAGATTGTCAAGTGAGAGCATCCTTAGGAGAGATAGTTAGTCATAACCACACACATGATTGCTAACAACACCTCCCACACAAAATAATATATTTACATGCACACAACATACTCTCTCTCGCTATCTCTCTCTCTCTCTCTCTCTCTCTCTCTCTCTCTCTCTCTCTCTCTCTCTCTCTCTCTCTCTCTATCTCTCTCTCTCTCTCACTCACTCACTCACTCACTCACTCACTCACTCACTCACACATACACACCTTTCCTGATGGTTATACCTACAGGGCCATATGGGCAGAGTCAGGCCCTGACCTTGCATGGATGTGTCTGGGTGAATTATTCCCATGAAGAGGTCTGGTCTGGTGAAAGGGGAGACACAGCTTGTCCCATTCACAAAACGCTTATTAATGAATTGATATTGATTTCCCAATTTTGGAGATTATTCAGATGCAGTCTCTCATCCTAAATCTCTGTCACCAGATTCAGATCACGCATGACAGATTTTGTTTTAAACATTGGTTTATTAATTGATTCCCCACAGCTGTGTATTAATTTCATCATCAGTCTTTTGTCATTTGTTTTGATTCTTGGTTTCTCATCCCTCAGTGATCGACTCTCCTATATGCTAATTATCGTCAGCTGGTTTCCTAAGTGTTTTTGGATACTCTAATTGTGTCAACTACAAAATCTCATTAGTTGACATGACATGAAGTATGCTTTTACAGTATGCTTTTGTATTCATCCCCCTTGGCGTTTTTCCTATTTTGTTGCATTACAACCTGTAATTTAAATGGATTTTTATTTGGATTTTATGTAATGGGCATACACAAAATAGTCAAAATTGGTGAAGTGAAATGAATGAAAATAAATAACGGAAAAGTGGTGTGTGCATATGCTATGAAGCCCCTAAATAAGATCTGGTGCAACCAATTACCTTCAGAAGTCACATAATTAGTTAAATAAAGTCCACCTGTGTGCAATCTAAGTGTCACATGATCTCAGTATATATACACCTGTTCTGAAAGGCCCCAGAGTCTGCAACACCACTAAGCAAGGGGCACCACCAAGCAAGCGGCACCATGAAGACCAAGGAGCTTTCCAAACAGGTCAGGGACAAAGTTGCGGAGAAGTAAAGATCAGGGTTGGGTTATAAACAAATATCTGAAACTTTGAACATCCCACGGAGCACCATTAAATCCATTATTAAAAAATTGAAAGAATATGTTATATCTAGCCTAGTTGTAGAAGAACGGACATCTGCACAGTTTCACATTGTACATCACTCTGTCGTTTAATGACATGTGCCACACATTCTGACAACCCATTCATCCGTAACGCAGCACACTGTCGTAAACCATAACAACGTACAGTACGACGTACAGCACGTCGTACCATACATAACATTTCCCCCCCCCTTTCCAAAACCAGGGACTGGTACCATATATAAAATGTCCATAGGGCAAGAACCTAGAGTAATACCTGTAAGAAATAAACATTAACCCTTAAACGGATGGACTCTCCAAACTAGCCAGTTCAGTCCATTAACCTGGAGGTTGACTAAGACACCTAACGGAGCCTAAGAATGAAAAGAGGTTAAGTAGTCCCCCAGATAAGCAGGGCGAGTTCGTGCCCGCATAGGCCTTTCTTCAACCGCCACCGCTTGTGGCTCTGGCCCTTGGGGAACCCACAGAGGCTGGGGCTCAGGTGGTAGTGGTGGAGGAGGTCCATCCGGTGGCGTCTCTGGCCTGCATGTCTGTTTTGTGTGCCTTCGTGTTCCTTGAGGGGCAGGGACTTTTCTGAGGCGGCTGGCGTGCCAGCGTGATCCATTGCTCATCATGAATGTGGCGGGCCCCAGTTGTCGACTGACCTGCAAGGGGTCCGACCAGAATGAGGCCATTTTGTTGCACCGCTGAGGCCGTTGGGCTCGGACCCAGTCTGACACTTGGATGATCGACTTCTTCACCCTGTGTGCCTTGTCAAAACGCTGTTTCATTGCTCTTTGGTGCCTGGTCACTGCCTGCTGTTCTTGGGTGCACCTAGTCGCCGGTTCTGCTACTCTCTGTGTTCTGAGTCTGTCCAGTGGCAGTTCCATCTCACGACCTAGCATGAGGGATGCCGGGGAGACCTGTGTTGTTGTGTGTTTGCTTGCTCTGTAGTGCATTAGCGTTTGATTCAAAGCAGTTTGGAACGTGCACCCCTGGACCAGGTGCGCTCTGATGCCGTTCTTCAGCGTTTGGTTGAAGCGTTCCACCCCTCCGTTAGCTTGTGGGTTGTAGTAGGCCGTGCGGATGTGTTTGATTCCCTTGGTACTGAGATATGAGGAGAACTCGGCAGAGGTTAGCTGGGGCCCATTGTCCGTGGTAAGGGTGAGGGGTAGGCCCCACCTTGTGAACAGGCTGTCTAGGATGTCCACGATGGCCTGTGCTGTGACAGTTCCGACAGGAACCACTTCTGGCCACTTAGAGTGGAGGTCATACACCACCACCAGGAAGCGCTGATGGTGAGGGACTGCGTGTCCATGGATCTCGCCACAGATGTCCAGTTGGATGTGCTCCCAGGGGTGGGACGGCCATGCGAGAGGCTGCAGGGGGGGGTGGGGCGGACTGTCCTGTTTTCCCACTGAGGAGGCATGCAGCACAATCCCTGACCAGGGCTTCAATGTCGTGGTCGATGCCTGGCCACCACACAAGGTCTCGACATCGCTGTTTGACCTTCACTATGCCCAAGTGACCCTCGTGCGCCATGGATAGAACACGCGCACGCAGGCCACTCGGGACCACAGTGCAAAACCCTCGAGAGACACAGACTTCTTCCCAGCAAGAAAGTTCGTGCTTCACTCTGGCGAAAGTCGCAAGCTCTTCCGGCACACGTGCTGGCCATCCAGTGCGTATGTAGGTGCGCAGGGTAGACAGTGTGGGATCCTGTTCCGATGCTTGCTTCAGCTCCTCCAGTGAGACGACTGACTGAAGAGGAGCGTAGAGCATTTGTACAAGCTCTGTTTCGTTGTCGTCTGGCAAGACGGTCGGAGTAGGAGCGTCAAAGGAGCGTGAGAGGAGGTCTGCCACCACGTTATCCCTCCCCGGAGTGAACTTCAGCTGATAGTCATACTGTCTGAGGCGGTCGGCCCATCTGTGCAGCCGAAGTGGCTTGTGGCCAGTTCCTGATGCTGACAGTAGCGTTGTGAGGGACTGGTGGTCGGTTCGGAGTGTGAACAGACGGCCATATAGGTAGAGGTGCCACCTTTCGCACGCCCAGACACAGGCCAGTGCTTCTCGTTCGCCCACAGAGTACCGTTGTTCTGTGGGGCTCAGGGCCCTTGAGGCGAAGGCGACGGGCCTCTCAATGCCATTCTGCAGCTGTGAGAGGACAGCTCCTAGTGCTCCAGGAGAGGCGTTACATGTGACAATGGTGTGGCAGACGGGGTCAAAGTGAGCCAAGACTGGGGCTGTGGTGAGCTGGCTCTTCAGTGAGCGGACCGCGTCTGAGCAGGCTGCCGTCCAGGCCCATGGCTCATCCTTCTTGAGGAGCTGGCGAAGGGGCGCTGTGGTCTGAGAGTAGTGGGGCAGAAACCGGAGGTAGTAAGCTGTCATGCCCAAGAATGAGGCCACCTGAGAGGCTGAGGTCGGTTCCGGGATCCGGTGGACGGCTTCAATGTTCGACATGAGTGGGGCAATGCCTTTGGCCGACAGGCGGAAGCCCACAAACTCGACGGCTGGAGCTGCAAAGGTGCTTTTTCCACCGTTAAGGGTCAGGTTGTTCCGCAGTAGAGCACTGAAAACTCTGTGGAGTCGATAATCATGGATGTGGAGGTCAGGGCCGTGGACCACGATGTCATCCAGATAGACCGCCACCCCAGGTATTCCAGCGAGGATGGTGCTCATCACCTTCTGGAAGCAGCTGGGGGCGGAGCTAAGTCCAAAAGGCATGCGTGTATATCTGAACACGCCAGCATGTGTGACAAAGGCCGTGAGGTCTCTGCTAGCTGCATGGAGGGGTACCTGAAGATAACCCTGACGAAGGTCAAGCTTCGTGAAGATCGTGGAGTCATGGAATTGTGCGGTCAGCTCCTCAGCTGTAGGCAAGGGGTGCTTATCCGGGTCAACGGCCTTGTTCACAGCACGGAAATCCACACAGGTCCGGATTCCACCGGACTTTTTGTTTGCAATGACCAAGTTTGAAATCCAGGGGGCAGCGTTGACTGGCTCAATGATGCCTGCATCCAACTGTGACTGGAGATCTTTTGTGACGTCATCACGCAGTGCAAAGGGAATGCGCCGCAGGGGCTGCATGACTGGGGTCACTTCCGGATTCACTAGGGGCCTGTGAGTAAAGGCTGTGAGGCAGCCCAGTCCATCAAACAGAGTCGGCCAGTTCTGTTGCCATGTGCAGGTAACCTGGTAGATAGCTGACCCACTGTCATCTCTCATTGTGAATCCCAAGCCTGTGAAGAGGTCGAGGCCCAGGAGGTTGGCACCCCGCTTTGCAACATGAAATGTGAATGATGGCAGATGTTTGGTGCCGTAGTGTACTGGGACCTGGAGGGTGCCTACAATGTCTATCTTGGATCTACCGTACCCACACAGGGCAGTGGAGGGCTGTTGGAGTGGTAGGTGACTGAAAAACTTGTAGTAAGTGGCAAGGTTGAGCAACGACACCGCAGCGCCAGTATCCAGCAGCAAAGGCAAACCCACCTCACCCAGCTGCACAGTGCATGTCCTGAATGACACATGGTTGGTGGAGACGGTTCGGATTTCCGTGTGTTCATGTTGAGAGTGAGATGAAACTAAGGGCCTGTTCTGGGTGGAGCTAGTAGAAGGGGCAGAACGACACACTTTCGCAAAGTAATTGTATTTTGAACAGTTCTTGCATATTTTTCCACGGGCTGGGCAGTTTGAAGCCCTTGAATTGTGAGAGCTAGCCCCACAGTTGCCACAGCTACTTCTGTTTGTTTGTCTGTGTGCCTGCTGCACGGGCATGTCGGTGTCTGTGTCCATGCAGCTATCGACGCGGGAGGGCGTGCGCAGCGCGTGATCGTTGTAGTGCGCCTGCTCGGGCTGAAGCTGCTGTGTGAGAATGGCTGGGGGCCGAGTGTATGCTGCAGAGCTGTCTGTTAGCATAGAAGAGCATTCCAACGCCGCTTCAACCTGGAGTGCTATTTTAATAGCTCCATCTAGTTGTAAAGTATCAGATTCCAAAAGCAGTTTCTCCCTTGTCTTTTCACATAATGTCCCCTCTATCAACTGATCCCTGATGATCTCGTCCTGAAGTGTCCCGTAGTTACAAGAGCTAGCCAAATCCCTCAGATTAGCCACGTAGCTTTGAATGGACTCACCCGGCCGTTGGTGTCTCTTCCGTAGCCGGTAGCGTCGGAGGAGCACTCGCTCTTTCCCGGCAAAGTGGTTCCGTAAGAGGCTGACTGCAGCAGTGAATGTAGGAGCCGATCCAAGCGCTCTGAAAATCCTCTGTCCCTCTGTACCAAGGCAGTGACGGAGCAGTGCTGTCCTCCGCTTGTCGGAGATTGTAGAAAAGTCCATAGCTTCTAGATAAGTGTTAAAACTATCAAGCCAGTTATTCCACGGGACTGGAGGTTCGCCAGGCACGGCGAGGAATGGTGCTGGCGGTGGTAAACTGAATTCAGCCATCTTCGTCGCCAATGTTATATCTAGCCTAGTTGTAGAAGAACGGACATCTGCACAGTTTCACATTGTACATCACTCTGTCGTTTAATGACATGTGCCACACATTCTGACAACCCATTCATCCGTAACGCAGCACACTGTCGTAAACCATAACAACGTACAGTACGACGTACAGCACGTCGTACCATACATAACATATGGCACCACAACAAACCTGCCAAGAGAGGGCTGCCCACCAAAACTCACGGACCAGGCAAGGAGGGCATTAATCAGAGAGGCAACAAAGAGACCAAAGATAACCCTGAAGGAGCTGCATAGCTCCACAGCAGAGATTGGAGTGTCTGTCCATAGGACCACTTTAAGCTGTACACTCCGCAGAGCTGGGCTTTACGGAAGAGTGGCCAGAAAAAAGCCATTGCTTAATGAAAAAAATAAGCAAATATGTTTGGTGTTCGCCAAAAGGCATGTGGGAGACTCCCCAAACATATGGAAGAAGGTACTCTGGTCAGATGAGACTAAAATTTAGCTTTTTGGCCATCAAGGAAACCGCTGTCTGGCGCAAACCCAACACCTCTCATCACCCCGAGAACACCATCCCCATCATGCTGTGGTGATGTTTTTCATCGTCAGGGACTGGGAAACTGGTCAGAATTGAAGGAATGATGGAGGGCGCTAAATACAGGGAAATTCTTGAGGGAAACCTGTTTCAGTCTTCCAGAGATTTGAGACTGGGACGGAGGTTCACCTTCCAGCAGGACAATGACCCTAAGCATACTGCTAAAGCAACACTCAAGAGGCTTAAGGAGAAACATTTAAATGTCTTGGAATGGCCTAGTCAAAGCCCAGACCTCAATCCAATTGAGAATCTGTGGTATGACCTAAAGATTGCTCTACACCAGCGGAACCCATCCAACTTGAAGGAGCTGGAGCAGTTTTGGCTAGATGTGCCAAGCTTATAGAGAAATACCCCAAGAGACTTGCAGCTGTAATTGCTGCAAATGGTGGCTCTACAAAGTATTGACTTTGGGGGGTGAATAGTTATGCACGCTCAAGTTTTCAGTTTTTTTGTCTAATTTCTTGTTTGTTTCACCAAAAAAATTATTTAGATCTTCAAAGTGGTAGGCATGTTGTGTAAATCAAATTAATTCCAGGTTGTAAGGCAACAAAATAGGAAAAATGCCAAGGGGGGTGAATACTTTCGCAAGCCATTGTAACTGAAGTAAAACACAGTCCACTCTTTTACCTCTGTTTCCTCCTCCCTCTCTCTCTCTCTCTCTCTCTCTCTCTCTCTCTCTCTCTCTCTCTCTCTTCTCACATCTCTTTCTCTATCCCTCACAGACCCTCCATCATTGGGAAATGTGCTTTAGAGTACAAGAGTAGAGAGCTCCCTCGTGAAAATTTATTTTTTCTCTAAGCAGTCTTGAGTGTTTTGTGCCCTTCCCATAGCGTCCCACAGTGATCTGAGTAAATGACACTAGATACTTATTCCCCTCTCTATGGCTCTTCCAGTTCCCTGTTCTAACTCTGAGTGCTTTTCTCCCTACCTCTCCAGTGTCTCCTCTTCCTATTCATCTCTCTGTCGCTCCCAAAGCCTTATAAGCCTGAGTCTTGAAGACAGAATGAGAGATGGTACTACACCTTCCAATCCCAGTGTTTCTCCTTAACCCGTCCAAGACCCTCCCACAGTGAAATAAAAAAATTCATAAGACTACCCCGCTCTTTCTCTCGCTCTGTTTCACTCCCTCTTGTTCTTTCTGTGAGACTCTGTGGTTCTTCCTGGGTCACCCTAACTCTATCTAAGTCTAACTGCTTCCTTCCCCCCTCCCCTCCCAGACCCTCCGTCGGTGGAGCCTGTTTCGTTGGAGATGCGTCAGGGCCTGGGCCGGCCGGTGGCCATGAACTGCCGGGTCCTGCGTGCCCACCCCTCCCGGGTGCTGCGCTACGAGTGGCGGCTGGGGAACCGCCTGCTCCACGCTGGACACTTCGACCAGAGCGATGAGACAGAGTACACCGTCAAAAGCCTCAACCGCGAGGGCTGGGGGGAGTACACCTGTGATGTCATCAATGAGGCCGGTGCCGGGCGCTGCACCTTCTTGGTAACAGGTAAGGAACACTTTATGTTTTTTAAAATGCGTTTAAATAAAGTTTGATTTGATACTTTCTGTTCCCAGTTGCTGAAATCACTCGATGTGGTTTATAGCGCTGCATTCTGGCTTTACTTGTCCAATATAAGAATGCTAATTATACTGAACAGAATTTATATTGGCTCTTTCTCTAGGTCTCAAAGCACTTCACATTTTATGAGGTATAACTCACATCATCTTCCTCTCACAATGTGGTAATAAAACCCACCCACTTGGATTGACATGCAGCAGAGCAGCCATTTTGTGTCCCATCTGCTGTGCGTCTTCTCTGGAACAGAGTTCTGAAGCAGAATGAGATTTCCCCATCCCCATCACGGTAATTAAACTTCCCAGGGATGTATTCTTGATGGCTGAATGATGTGAATGATGTCTGCAGCAAATTGAAACCTGCCTGTCAGACGGTTAGGTAACTACAGTACGTGTGTCATGAGGTAATGGATTGAAAAGGAGTGGGCGAGACAGGGCATAATACAGATTGTCAATTTGAATGCGAGAGACGTTGTCACGTTCGTTGAGTACAGGATTGGACCAAGGTGCAGCGTGGAATGCATACATGTTTATTAACAAAGTTAACACACGACAAAACAACAAAAGCAACGTAACGTGAAGCTCACAATGGCTACACACAAACAAGCCAAACAAGAGTCAAGATCCCACAACATAGGTAGGCAAAATGGCTACCTAAGTATGATCCCCAATCAGAGACAACGATCGACAGCTGCCTCTGATTGGGAACCACACCCGGCCAACATAGAAATATACAATCTAGATCTACACATAGATACCTAGATATTCACATGAAAACCTCTAGCATTCACACCCTGACCAACCTAACTAAAGAATAACAGGCTTTCAAGGTCAGGGCGTGACAGACGTCTTCTATAAGATCCATGTCAGCTACCTTTACACATCCCCTAGTTTGTGTCCCAATTGGCACCCTATTCCCTATATAGTGCACTACTTCTATGGGTCCTGGTAAAAATAGTGCACTAAATAGGGAATAGGGTGCCATTTAGGAAGCAGCCCTCTAGATTACTAATGAAAGCTCGTACTATACGGGAAGGACCCAATCCTTCAGACAGGACACAGATCTGTTGGGTAATGCATGATTATCCCCTCTGGCAATGTTTGTGGTGGAGTGCCTGAAAGTAGCAGGAGGAGCAGTCAGTGGCCATGTCATCGGTCACACAGAGCGTTTGTGTTTTATGACAGGGACAGATTAGTTGAGAGAGAGAGAGAGAGAGAGAGAGAGAGAGAGAGAGAGAGAGAGGTAGCGAGGGAGGGAGAGAGAAAGACAGATTGAGAAAAGGAGAGAGAGTGAAATAGACAGTGCCAGGGGACAGTGGCTTAAGTGGCTGAGGATCAAAGTGACAAATACTCTTCAGTCCCGAACCTTTCCATTCCTAGTGGGAGGTCTGGGAGATGGAAACCTTCACCTGGGTCTCTCTCTCTCTCTCTCTCTCTCTCTCTCTCTCTCTCTCGCTTCTCTCTCTCTCCTCTCTCTCTCAGCCTCCCTCTGTTTGGTAGTGTCAGTGGTCTTTGTGTCATATATCAGTCCAGCCCCTGAAGACCAGGTAGAGTGGAGGAGGAAAGGAGATAATCCCCTCCGGACGTTTGCTTTTCTCAGCGGGGCTCGCGTGCTATCACTCACCTCCCTCCTTCCTTCCTTCCTTCCCTTGCTCTCTACTTCCATCCCTCCAGTCCTACATCCCTCCCTCCAGCCCTCCCTCCATCCATCCTCTCTATCCATCCCTCCAGCCCTCCTCATCTCTCCCTCCCTCCATCTCTCTCTCCCTCCCATCCCTCCTCCCCTCCCATCCCATCACTCCCTGTTCTTCAGCTCAGTCCCTCTCTCCATCACCAGAAATGCTTCCAAGATTCCTACCATCTAGATGTGGCTGCTGCCAAAGGTAAGGCAGCTCCATTAGTTAGTGAGTTAGTTAGTTAGTTAGCTAGATAGCTAGGTAACTATCTCTCTCTCTCTCTCTCTCTCTCTCTCTTCTCTGCTCTCTCTCGCTCTCGCTCTCTCTTTCCCTCCTCCTTCTCACCCTCTCTCTCTCTCCCTCTCTCTCTCGGTCTCATTCTCCTCTCTCCTCTCTCCTCGTCTCTCCTCTCTCTCACTCTATTTCTCTCTGCAGTTTGTTGCTGTAGTTTGGAGGCATAGCTTTGCCTCAGAGTCTAACTAACCAACAAGTGAACTAACTAACTAGCGAACTAGCTAGTTCGCTAGTTAGTTCACTAGTTGGTTAGTTAACTAGTTAGTTAAATAGCGAGTTATATTGTTAGCTAGTTAGTTGGTTAGCTAGTTAGCTAGTTAGTTAGTTAGTTAGTTAGTTAGTTAGTTAGTTAGTTAGTTAGTTAGCTAGTTAGTTCATTAGTTAGTTAGTGGCCCCCGGAACCAGGAATCCAATGGAATCCAATGTACCCTGTCCCTCCCCATACTCCCTTTCTTAACTACCCCCTCCTCCTCCTCCCATCCTAAAACATGAGCTCTTCCAATGTATCCTGCACCACCTAATCCCCACCACCACCACCATCTGAAAAGATGAGGCTAGTCCGATCCCTGTCCGTGTCTGCAGCTGTGGCCGGACATAATGGCATAATGTCCTGATTAATAGCATGTTGATCAGACTGGCCACCGGCTGGGGTTTACTGTTAGACAGTGAGTTAAGTAGTTGACCTGTTTAAGACAAGTCAGACACAACAGTCTGAATGCCAAGTCTCTGGATCAGTGTATTAGACCTCAAGTAGACCAGTAGAGGAGAAAGTAATCACATGGGAAGGTAATCCAAAGATGTAACAATTTGCCTCAAACTAAGTTTGCTTCGGTTCTGTGTTGTTTGTTGCCCTAAAATCAGCCTTAATTCCCTGGCATAGACTCACTCTTCAAGGACCAGTCCACTCATGTGGATCCTTAACTTTTGGCATCTTGTTTACCAAAACTAGGCCTGTATAGCAATATGTATGATGGCTGAGGAATGGGGTGCGATGAGTTTGTGGAGCAGTTTGTGGAGGAATGGAGAATGGGTATAGTATGCTGTGAAACAACAAAGCTTCAATGGATGTCAATCCTTCAATGTGGAGGTGAGAGAGAGAGAGGGGGGGGGAAGTGTGTGAGAGAGAGACAGACAGAGAGAGAGGGGAAAAAGAGAGAGAGAGACAGAGAGAGAGGGGGGGGGGATATGATAGAAGAGAGAATGAGGGAGGGAGAGAGAGAGAGAGAGCAAGCAGAAAGAAGATCAGGTCTGTGTTCAGTAAAACTATATCAGTCAAAGTCATTGGCTGAAAGCCAGGGTGGGTCGATTAAACCCAGGGTCTCAGCCATCACGCCAGGGGACACGCACACGCACACACACTCCAAAGCCGGGTAGCAGGCCATGCTCAGGGGCAAACACACACACTTTATCACACTGCTGATCAGGAGCCAGGCCATGCCAGGGGGCGTGTGTATGTGCTTGCGAGTGTGTGTGTGTGTATGTGAGTGTGTGTGTGTGTGTGTGTGTGTGTGTGTGTGTGTGTGTGTGTGTGTGTGTGTGTGTGTGTGTGTGTGTGTTGTGTGTGTGTGTGTGTGTGTGTGTGTGTGGTATGTATGTGTGTGTGTGTGTGTGTGTGTGTGTGTGTGTGTGTGTGTGTGTGTGTGTGTGTGTGTGTGTGTGAGTATGTGTGTGCCAGGCTGCTGGGGACATCTGCGGTACCAGTGGCTTTACTGAGATGAGATGGCCCTTCAATCCTGCCAGAGCAGAGTGGCAGAGTGGCAGCCAGCGTCTTCAGAGGGTTTACTCTGCACCACTGAGCCCTGGCAGGAACCTGGCACCACATTGTAGAATGATCCCCGCAGCCCCTTCATCTCAGGGTGGCATACACTACTCAAAGCCGCAACATGCAACAATTTCAAAGATTTTACTGAGTTACAGTTCATATAAGGAAATCAGTCAATTTAAATAAATTCATTAGGCCCTAATCTATGAATTTCACATGACTGGGCAAGGGCGCAGCCACGGGTGGGCCTGGGAATATGCCCACCCACTTGGGAGCCAGGCCAATCAGAATGAGTTATTCCCCACAAAAGGGCTTTATTACAGACAGAAATGCTCCTCAGCATCAAAGGATTTAACCTGCACAAGTGAGCCTTATTGGCAGGATAGGATAGTGTTCTTCAATTCGGTCCTGGTCAGAGTTTGCAGGATTTTGTCACAGCCAACACTAACACATCTGATTCTGTTAATTAAAGGTTTAATGATCAGTTGAATCAGGTGTGTTAGTATTGGGCTGGAACAAATGCCTGAACTCCCTGTGTGTATAATAAAGAATACTTTCTTAAATGAATATAGAGTAAAACAGTTCTGTAGGATTAGCGCTTAGAGCATGTTGAGAATATTTACAAAAGAAGAGAATACCTACACTCACTGTTCAGATGTCCCCCTGTTTAGATGCCACCCAGAGTTTTCCACCACTGCAGTCAAAATGTTTCTCCATTAAAATTCTGGAAGCATACGAACAGCGTATTTTTCTTTTTTATCACATCATATTTCATATACTCTAGTAGTCTGCACCTGTACACTGTGTACCTGGACACGCAGTGCATATTCCCCCCCCCCCGCTCAGACTAGCAGTGTGACAGTGATGGATAGCCAATGATGTGACATGATGTGCTTTAGAAACCGACAGGGAGCATATGAATAGTGCTATCTATCTGTTATAGAGGAGTCTGTCAGCCCTGAAGGACAGGAGCATAATGTACAGGTTATATATAGTCACGTGAGTTGGAATCCTTTATGATAAAAAGCCTGATAAGCATCTATATATGCAGCATAGTCTCATTATTATATGTAAAAAAATAGTGACATTTAAAAGGGCAATCTGCAGTTGCTACATCAATTTTGGGACTTTGAAATTAATGATATGAACCCATTGATTCTTGAGTAATATACTGTAACTTAGAAATGTCGTACCCCATCAGAACCCAAAATGTAAGTTTTGTTTTCTCTAACTGTGTTTGTAAACAAAGTAAATCTAAACAAACACTATGTAGCCTCAAAACATGGTTACAACTATAGTTTTGATATCATGGATGGTCAGTCCTTGCATCCATACCTCTGTCTATGAATTTGAGAGTAGGTATATTTCTCCAGCCCCATCCCTCAACTTTTTACCGAAACGGGTGGAGAAGCTTTATTCTTGTTCCAACTGCTGATTGCCACTTTAAGTTAAATATGTCTTTAATCCAAACCCAGCCAACTGTTATTACAACAATAGTGAAATTGTAACAGTAGCTCAGTTAATATTAATAATACATCCCTCCTCTATAGAACACATTTCCCTTGGCATTCAGAATCCAGACTGGAACATTGTCATGTTTTATGTCTAGACATATTTGTTAGACAAAGGCACTGTGATGTTTGGGAAGCAGAGTTTGAGCCTCATGAGGGGAAACAGATTTGTATGCGTTTCTTTGAACAACTGTGTTCTTTGAACCACTCTCCAAACTGAGTCTAGTGTACAGTTAAGCCACTGGAAAACAAATATGTCATTGGGTATTTGTTGCCACCATTTCAAACACTTGGATATTTCATTCCAAAGCAGGCATTTGTTTTTTGACACATTGCTGGAGTTTGGGTTCAACATCATATAGTTTTGTTCACATTTTCATTTTGTTTTGGTTTCAATGTATATTAACATACATTTTATGCCAGTTCGTTTTACTCATAAATACAAATTAATATTCATTTAGCGTGGTCATTAGCATACGTCTAGCTGCTATATGACTTGTGACTGGAGCAGCGTTGTTTTCATAAGGAGCCTCAGCTACAATACATCCTATATCTATGTTTATGGGAGGAAGGTACAGACAGACTAGCATATCGCTGCTGGACAGCTTCTCTATAAATAGAATTATGTTCATAAACCACTGAAATCAAATGGGTAGTGGTGGTGGGTAGGTACAATAGCGGGAGTAGAAGCGATTCATAGCTTGTTGTTTGTGGTTTGTCCCTCTGTGTTCCAGTCTATTTCAATTGTTCCATTTGGAGAGAGAGAGAGAGAGAGAGAGAGAGAGAGAGAGAGAGACCACGTGGAGATGGAGAAGGGTTTTTGTTTTCTTCCCCAAGTACATATGACCTATTTCTGAATAGGAACCGGTTTATCCACCCCCAGATCAAAGCTGACTTTTTATATTACATTAATATACAGGATGTCCTTTTAGGAGTGGTTTTCTGTGACAGGTGTATGAACTTTCAAAGTCACATGTCTACAAAACATGGAATAAATAACAGAGGAATGAAATTGGAGAGAGAGAGAGAGAGAGAGAGAGAGAGAGAGAGAGAGAGAGAGAGAGAGAGACTTATCCCTGGGAGTTTCTGTAACATTTCCCAGCATGGGCTCAGCTCACAACCACCAGGTATAATATTATTGTATTCAGTACTTCATATTTTCTCTACAATTTGGTTTACTAGAATGATTACTACTGTAGAATACAGGTATGTGATGGTTAGTTATCTCAATTGCAAGCAAATGTAGGGAATACATGTCAAAATGATATATACAGTGGGGAAAAAAAGTATTTAGTCAGCCACCAATTGTGCAAGTTCTCCCACTTAAAAAGATGAGAGAGGCCTGTAATTTTCATCATAGGTACACGTCAACTATGACAGACAAAATGAGATTTTTTTTCCAGAAAATCACATTGTAGGATTTTTTATGAATTTATTTGCAAATTATGGTGGAAAATAAGTATTTGGTCAATAACTAAAGTTTCTCAATACTTTGTTA